TCCTAAACTTCCATATTTCTAAGTTCCAACATTTCTAAATTTCTATATTTTCAAGATTCTACATTTTTGAATTTCTATGTTCGTAAGTACCCACATTTTTAATTTTTTATATTTCTGAGCTGCCAAATTTCTAAATTATAATATTTATAAGTTCTTAAATTTCTCAATTTTTATATTTTATTTCTGTTACTAAGTTTCAATGTACTTCTTAGTTCCCACTTTTCTAAATTTTTGTGTTTCATAGCTCCAAAATTCCTGACGTCTTAAATATCTAATTGTCTAAATTCCCAAGTGCCTAAGTTTCTAATTTTTCAAATGTTTAAATTTCTAGGTTTTCAAATGTTTAAATCTACAAATGTTTAACTTCTTAAATATTTAAATATATAAATTTCCAAATGTCTGTGTTTACAAATTTGTAGATTTCTAACCTTTTAAATTTCTAAATTTTTAAATTTTCAATTTTCTGTGTATTCACATTTATAGGTGTTTAAACTTCTTAGTTTTCATATATTTAACTTTACAAATCTCTAAATTCTTATATTTCTAACTCTTCAAATCTCTTATGTTCTCGTATTTTTAATTTTTTTAATTCTCTAAATTTTCAAAACTAGAGGTTTCCTTATATCTCCATGAATCTCCATGTGCATAGCAAAGAAAAAACCTCACTAGATGATTGAAAAAGCTTATGAATGTAGCAGCTTGCTTATTTTAATTTGCATCTGTTCAAACTACAGCTTAATTAGTTTATGCTTTGCTATAATTTCTTGCCATGTTTCTACTGACGGCATTGTTTGCCTAAACATAGCACGTACAAATATTCGACTAGGATTATGATAACGCTCTCTCGTATTCACAAATTTCATCAGTTTCTACATTCCAGTCTTCCACAATTATTAAATTACTAACTTTACAAATATATAAATTTCTAGATTTCTATATTTTCAATTTTCTAAACATACATAGTTCTAGATGTTCACATTTCTTAGCTTTAATATTTCTAACTTTCCACACTCCTTAGTTTCAATATTTACAACTTTTACAAGATTCACAAGATTCTAAACTTCAGTACTCTACAACTTTTTAATTTCTATTTTCTCAAATATCTAAATTGCAATGTTTCTAAAGTTCTAATTTTAAAATCTTCTATATTTTCGGTTTTCTAAACATCTATAGTTCTAGGTGTTCAAATTTTTTAGCTTTAGTATTTCTAACTTTCCACATTTCTTAGTTTTCATACTGCTGTCTCACTAAATCTCTAAATCTGCACATTAAAAGTAATTATTTGTATTTTCATGAATATCCAAATGTATCGCAATGTAAAAATGTCATTTGAAAGTGCAAAATCGCTTTTGAAGATAGTAATTTTATTCCAATTTGCGTATATCTAATCGCATCCTCATTAGTTTATGATTTGCTCAGTGTCTTTGCATCTTTCTTCTGATGGCGTCAGTCGCAGCACGTACAAATATTTCACTAGTGTTATGATCGCGTTCTTTCATATTCGTAAGTTTCACAAGATTCTAAATTCCAGAATCCATAATTTTTTAATTTCTAACTTCACAAATATATAAATTTCTACCTTTTCAAGCTTCTCAGATTTCATACTCCTAGCTCGCCAAATCTCTAAAATAGCATATTAAAAATAATTCATTGCATCTTCACACATTCCCAAATACATTGCAATGGAAAATTGTCACTCGAAAGTGTAAAACCGATTATGAAGATAATAACTCTATGTTACTATTTAATTTTGATCTGTCCAACCGCATCCTAATTAGTTAACGATTTCCTGCAGTTTCTTATCATGTTTCTCCAGATGTCGTCGGTCGCCTAAACGCAGCACGTGCAAATATTCGGCTAGGGTTATGATCACGCTCTCTCATATTCACAAGTTTCACAAGTTTCCGGCATGAAAGTACCATTCATGCCGGCGATTCCCGCAGGCAGGTTGCCTCGCCAATGGCGCGAAGAACGTTGACATGGAAGCTGCGAAAAAGACACCAACCACCCCCATTCACGCCTGACACCCTCGTACATACATATACACGCGTACATAGATTTTCGTCGAGGTATACGTAGATACAACGCTTGGTAACCACTCTGTAAGCGACATTTCCATCCTCCTTTCTTTCTTCCCTCTTTCGTTTGCTTTCTCTTTTTCACCCTTATCCGCGTTCCTTCTTCCCTCGATGCACCGTTCCACCGAGGGGTTTTTCAACCCCTTGCAGAGTCATTCTCATTAATCTAAATCGACGCTGACAACGTTCATCCGAATGAAACCGCCGCGATCCTCTTTCAGCCCGCCTTTGTGGCTAACTATTAAAAGGCTCATCCGGTGTCTGGTTAGTGAGCCTCGAACAACCTTCTGCAAAAGCGGGATTTGTAAATCTGGACGGGGCTGAATTGTCCGTGAAAGCTGGAATTTGATCAGCTATCCATAGCAGTTAGTACATTCCAAACTGAGAGGTATTTTGTTCGGAATGAAAGAAAAAATTTTAGATTTGAGTGATGGACTGTTTCGAATGATTTATTGGTTTTCTAGGGGTTAATGTGGAGAGGAGTGATTTTGTTCTGGGGTTAATGTAGGGTAGAGTGATTTTGCTTTTTGGGGGTGTCTGATGCGTACATTTAAAGTAATTTTGTATTTTAATTTATTGGATCGTGTGAATTAATATATGGTATAAGTAAATAAATAATTTGACATTAGGGATTGTGATGAGATTACTGGTTATTTCTAAATTGAAGATGTCGACGAACCTGTTATGTTACGTAAAATAATAAATTACAGATTTTTATGACATCTATTTCAAGTATAATAAGAAATAAGAGATAGTGATGACCTGCTATTTTACATAAAATAATAAATTGGAGATTGTAATGAGATAATTCGTTATTTCAAATAAAATAAATAAGGAATTTTTATGAGGTCACCTGTTATTTGAAATAAAATAAATAAGGAATTCTGGTGAACATGTTGCTTAAAATAAAATAACGTAGAGATTGTTATGAGATCACCTGTTATTTCAAATAAAATAAATCAGAGATTATAATGAAATTACCTGTTATTTCAAATAAAATAAATAAAAGAATGTGATGAGATCACTGGTCTTGAATGAATTTATTTTTATCCGACCAAGAAGAATATTTAAACTGTCTTAGCGAATTTTTATCGTTTAATGATTATTTGAAATATTTAGTCAAATGAAAAAATAGATTATTTGAGAAATATCTAATGAAGGTATCTATTGCATGCTCACTGCATTAATTAAAAAATAATAGACAATATTCAAATTGTTTTAAGTCTGTTAATAATTCATCCTTTTCATTTTTTGATATAAGTATTTGATGTAATTTATTATAATATCAAAAATCATTAGTATTGATATTATCGATATATTTATTTATCTTACAAAATCAAATAAAAACGTTATTTGTATTCATAACATCGATTTCAACGAGCACCCTGTCGAATCTTGATATTATTACCAACACATCAATTATAGTTACTGTTGCAAAGTTTCTTACCCTATGTTGGCTCATCCAAGGTTTCGGACGTGCTTTGAATCAAACTAATCTCGAGAGAAGGATCGTTTAAAGTGGCCTAGAATCAATCGATCGTATCCCTTTTATTTATAGCTACAATTTTACCTTGATGGAAAATAAGACTAGCTTGTCATCATAAAGTGTCGTTTGGTATTACTGATTTAATTTACAATCTTACAAACTTATAAGTATTCATGTTCTCGTCATTTATTTTCAGTCTTGAAAAGACTCTGGTTTTTTCTGGTCTTTTCTGGACTCTGTTTTCACAAATCGTAATTTGACACAGATTTTCATTTGTATAAGAAAGCGTCATTGTCCACGAAGGGTTGATTTGCAAAATCAAAGCGACAAATATTTACTTTATTTATTAATATAACACACATGCTATTGAAAATTATATCTTCTTTTTGTTAATTACTCTTTCACTTTTTCTGAAACGCAGTAAATCAAAGTACGTCAAATTCAGAGCTGAAATATTCTGAACAGCTATTGTGAAGAAGAAAACACAATTATGTATTGTGTAGTTGCAAAGTTTCCTTGAATTTATATCTGTAAATATTTGCTTTAACTCTGTTTTTAATTAATCGAGAACATGGAAAGCTAAAATAACTAAATAAAGTTAATTAATTGAATTTAATTATAAATTCGTTGAAGAACTTTATTTTATTACTGAACATAACATGTTTAATAACTCCTCTTTGTTAATTGGGTATACTACGTTTTCAGTGAACTTTGAAGATAACCGCATAATATAACTAATCTTATAATATTATAATTAATTTAATAAATGTAATGTAACGAGAACATTATAACTAATATTAGTAACGTGTTTTTCTATTTATTGTAACTGAATTACAATACCTATAAAGTGCAACTCTTTTGCAATGAAAATAAACCACTGCCACGTTCATTTTGAAGTACAATAAATTACAATAAATATAAAATGAATTATATGAAATATAAATAAAATATTAAATGAATATAAAATAATATTGTAATAAGCAAAAAAATTTGCAGTCAGAAAATGTTTAGCACCGCCTACAAAAAATGTAAAATAAAAAATATTACAAAAAATTCATCGCATCGTTAGTCAAAGAAAGCATGACACTATCTATCCGCGTGAGCAATATTTTCTCGATATAATAGAAAAACATAGGTGAAAACAGTTGGACGTCACGAAATGCGAGAAACCCTGTAAAAATTTTAACGGATGCCCAGCCAATGTCGATTTCCCTGTTCAATTTTATTTTCCTTCTTTTCTGCCGTTCTTTTACCGATTTTATTTTCTCCCGTCTGCCATTCGCGCCAATATATCGATCTCTCTTGATTTCCTTCACCCGACCACATTGGCATTCTACAGTTCCCGGTACCGTGAATATCGGTACTCGAACTTTCCTGCAAAATTCAGCTGCTGGATGAACTTCCATCCTATCAATCGTGCTGCGAATTTCTTCGTTATGATACTCTCTACTCGTATTTGCCCGTCATACCCTAACCCCACTTCTTCGCGTGCCACGAATTCATGGCGTTTCTAGACTGCATTAGCGGCATTTTGATGTATCAAAATTTAGGTGACTCGAAATAGTTACCTTTACATACTATGCACGGCACGAGATTGATTATAAACGTCGAGCAATTGGAATCTATATCGTAATTCGATTCGGAAATTATTCAGGACATTCCATCGATGACAGCTTATTTTTCGATTCGAATATTTTGCTCATCCGTGGATTAGTGCGAGGTATACAGGGTCTTCTAACGCACGATTTTTCGTCTACTTGTTATTCGATAAAAAAAGTTTCGGAGAGTTGCAGAGTGTACGACATTGGCAAAAATCAATTCGAAAACAGTTTGTTTTCATGGCGGAATTGGGGTCACCTTTACAAATAGGAACACATTTTTTTGCCATATTGAATGTCGAGTTGAAGTAAAAATAATACATGATATTTTTACTAACATGTTACTCGATTTACAGCTGCGGAAGTGTGAAATATTTAGTTTTTGTTGTATTTGATTTTAAAATGATATTTGACACGGAAGAGATGTGAGTGATACAACGTGATTAGAATGTAAGAAAAAAATACTTTATTTGTTTATTGAAAATGCATTCCGTGTTCCGTGATAAAAATTAACATGTTAGTAATATGCTAAAATATCGTGTAATATGTGTTCGTATATGTGAGACAGGTGACGTCGATGTCGTCAAGAAAACTATTTTGAAGTTTTTTTAATTATTTATTGTATAATATTTTTGTATAATATTTGTATATTATTGTATACTATTTTTGTATAATATTTAACATATATATAATAATTAATTGCTGTATTTTTAATATTTAATTCGCTTCAGTCACATCGAAGAAACATCTTTCCACACTCATAGCACACATGCTACTGGCAATCCCCGATTCTCAGTTCTTTTAACATTCGTACCAACCCGAAAAAATATCTCAATCATACCAACTTCACTCACTCAGCACTCATATCAACCTCATACAACACTCTTGCTAACTCATTTCATTATAAAATCACACACTCTGTACCTTGAAACTTATTCTAAACTTGTTTTTTATGAAATATTGAACTGTCTTTATATAATATTGTAAGTTGGAATAAAGAATAGAGTTAAGTATTCATGTCCTAAGAAATTGCAAACAAATGATGTTTGAAATGAGTGCAATTAGATCAAAATATTAATTGCGTGTAATAACAATTATGTCTGTAATAATTATTGCAACAGTTATTAATTGCAATCAAATGGAATTAAATCGTAACTATTAAAAGATAAATTTTGAAGATTTTGATGCAACGCTTAATACTTTCAATAAAATAATTTTGTCTACGAATAACCACTATAATATTGATTTCTAATTATTAACTAATTTAAATTTTCTTTTTAGATAACCATTCATAATGATTTATAATTCTTTAAATAATTTAAATAAAAATTTTTAAATAACCATTACGAATGATTTATAATTCTTAACTAATTTAATTTTCAATTTTTAAATAACCATTATAAATTTCTAACTAAATTTATTATAAAGATAATCTATTATCGAGGACAGAAATTTTTACTTTCCAATAACCGATATCGAAGCAGGAAATTTAATTTAGTTACTATTCACAGTACGAATAATGAAAACCGTATTTTTCTTCATAGTAATCATGGTGCTCAATTTCGATTTCCAATAATTGATGAGCAGAATTTTATTTTGGTTACTGGTAATCATTATCGATAAGTATTGTCAACGTCTTTTTTGCTTATCGACTAAACAATATCGAAAGCAGTATCAGCAGATGCAATAAAAAATATATGATTCCATTTAAAAGAACATTAATGACCTTAATATGTCCTTTACACGTCCACCTATAAAAAAAAATATATCACCAGCATATGCCCCTCTCGAAACCATTCAACTTCATCTGAAACATTGTTTGCTATGAGTAATAATAATGACGCAAATCTGGATGGCAAAATGTGGTGAGCCACACTGTATAGCAATAATCTTCAACACAGGCAATTACAATAGAACGTATTGGCCGCAAACAAGTGGACCCACGTTGATTTAGAGTCCACTCATGTTTCTTAAGGTAGTCTCTCCAAGGACCGTAGAAGCAGAAATCCAACCTATGCATAATTTATCATCGCAATATCGAGTTGTAACTTTTTGCAGAATTACGAAACGTCACTTTCTACAGTTAGTTAAATATAGGGATTTCATGATTTAGGAATTTGGGAATTCTGCGTATTTGGAATTTAGCGATTTGGGGATCTACTGACTTAAGGATCTAGGATTTTGGGGGTGTATGGATTAGAGGATGTGGGAATTGAAGGTAGCAGGGATTTGGGAACGTAGCAACTTGAAAATAAAAGGATTTCATGATTTAGGAATTTGGGAACCTGCGTATTTGGGAGTTTAGTGATTTGGGGATCTGCTGATTTGAGGATCTAGGATTTTGGGGCTGTAAAGATTTGGGGATATAGGAATTTGGGAATATAGTGACCTGGAAATGTAGGGATTTGGAAATATAGGGATTTCATAATTTAGGAATTTGGAAACCTGGGTATTTGGGAATTTAGCGATTTGGGGATCTACTGATTTGAGTATCTAGGAATTTGGTGGTGTATAGATTAGAGGATGTGGGAATTGGGGGTAGCAGGCATTTGGGAATGTAGTAATTTGGAAGTAAAGGGATTTCATGATTTAGAAATTTGAGAACCTAGGTATTTGGGAATTTAACAATTTGGGGATCTACTGACTTAAGAATCTAGGAATTTGGGGGTGTATAGATTAGAGGATGTGGGAATTGGGGGTAGCAGGGATTTGGGAATGTAGCAATTTGGAAATAAAGGGATTTCATGATTTAGAAATTTGGGAATCTGGGCATTTGGGAATTTAGCAATTTGGGGATCTACTGACTTAAGGACCTAGGAATTTGGGGATGTAGGAATTTGGGGATGCGGGGATTGGGGGAAGCAAGGATTTGGGAACGTAGCAACTTGGAAATGTAGAAATTTGGAAATATAGGGATTTCATAATTTAGGAATTTAGGAACCTGGGTGTTTGGGAATTTAGCAATGTGGAGGTCTAGAGATTTCCCTTTCATCCCCACATCCTACATTCCCAAATCTCTACACTCCCAAATCTTTAAAATTTCTAATTTCCAAATTTCTAAATAGTTAGATCCTAAAATCCCTACATCCCAACTCTCTATACCCAAAATCACTATATTCCCAAATTCCCAGGTTTCCTAACTCCTAAATCCCTACATACATCCCCACATCCCTACTTTTCCATATTCCTACCTTCCCAAATTCCTAAAGCTTAAAATCCCAAATTTCCAACTCCTCAAACCCGTAGACCCCCAAATCTACGGACTGTAAATCGCAAGATCCAAAAAAGTAATAACACAAAAGTACCGCAGTATACAAAAATTAATGCGACCGTGTCGTATGTATCCCACAATGGCGTCATTCACCTTAGCTGTTTACTTGAATCCCCGAAAACAACTGGTCCGGATGGCCGAATAAAACAGTGAAGGACTGAAAGCAAACAAAACGAAAGAAGTATTAAATTTTCAGTGTCGAACGTGGCCAAAGGGGTGGTTCTCGAACAAGTACATTTCTCGTGACCCCACGATATTTCGCTCTCTCTTCAATGAAAGCACGTGCGTCGAATTCGGTCCTGGCTACGGCCATTATTCTCCTCGTAGACACAATCCTGTTGCATTTCGCATTCGACCCAGCATATCGTGGCCCGATTCTGAAGTTCTTCGGGAAACCTCCAGCAAAATAAAATATACGTGCAGAGTTAGCCGAGGAATCTAAGATTTAAACGAGTTGTTACTTATGCCGATAACAAGTACAAATTCGCGGGATTAAAAATTGGTGTTGCTCCGATTTGACCCTGAACGAGCATGTACGAAGCTTAGGAGGTTTGCCAAGGGATTATACCGGCTTACTGGCTATCGTTGCTTCGTAATATATTGAATCCGCAACACGATCTACGACGTCTAACAGAATCCAAGGAGATTCTTATCAGAAATTTTTGATTAATGTGGGATTTGCAAAATGCATAATTAATTTTGTCATTGTTAGTTGGATAGGACTTCAAATTATTTATTTTTATGCAGCTTTTTTAAATTGACAATTTTTAGGAAATATTTCATTGGGTACTGTTTGTATTTGAATTTGTGCTAACGTAATACTGGAATTTGATCTGATTTGTAGATTCGAGTGTAATTTAGAAGTTTGAGGATTTAGAAATTTGAGAATTTTGATATTTGAATCGTTGGGAATTTGATAACAAATTTTGAAACTTACTAGTTTGATAATTGATATATTTTGAATTTTTCAATTTTGAAATTTGATAGTTGTTACTGTTTGATATTTTGAAACTTGAGAATTGTGAAACTGAAAAATTTAGAAACTTGGTAATTTAATGATTCAGATATTCTACAATTTCGAAATTTGATGATTTTTATAATTTGATATTTAGAAATTTGTTAGTTGTTACTGTTTGATATTTTGAAACCTGAGAATTGTGAAACTGAAAAATTTAGAAACTTGGTAATTTAATGATTCAGATATTCTACAATTTCGAAATTTGATAACTGTTAATTTCATATTAGGGGACTTGATAATTGTAAAACTAAAAAATTTAGAAACTTGGTAATTTAACGATTCGAGACAATTCTTCAATTTCGAAGTGTAATGATTTTTACAATTTGATACTTAGAAATTTGATACTTGTTACTATTTGATATTTTAAAGCTTGAAAATTATGAAACTCAAAAATTTAGAAACTTGGTAATTTAATAGTTTAGGCATTCTCCTATTTCGAAATTTGAGGATTGTTACCATTTGATATTCAGAAATTTTATGATTGTAAAATTTAGAAATTTTGGAGTTTCTAATTTTGTAGATTAGAAATTTAATAATTGTCATAATTTTATGTGTAGAAATTTGATAATTGTAAAATCGTTAAATTAGAAATTTGGTAATTTAATAGTTCAGAAATTTATAATTGTAGAAGCATCTAAATGATAGATTTTCTAGTTTAGAAATTTAGAGATTTCAGAGTATAGAAATTTGGTGATTTAGAAAACTTGTTACATGCAAATTCAGTACTATTTAATATTTGAATTAAGAAACTTGAAAATTTAGTCTGACGTTTAGAAATTTAAAAATTTAGATGTTTTGAAATGTATATATCTTCAATTTTACAAATATTGAAAAGAAATCTTCAAGTTTAGAAGTTTTAAAATTTAGAAACCTTCAATTTCTGAAGTATTGAAAGTTAGAAGTCTTCAAGTTTAGAAATTTTCAAATTTAGAAATCTTCAATTTTGGAGGTTTTGTAATTTAGAAATATTAAATTTTTCGAAACCAGAAATTGTATGTGAATTTTATTGAACTCCTTGAATTAAGAGTTGTTATCAAAATTATTCAAATTTGTCACAGACTAATATGGCAGCAATAGAGATTAGGTTAATTCGTGACATTAATCTAATCTTACCATGAGACATATTCCTACAGTAATGTGTATAATTAACACATCAAATTATGTGGGACCTAATCTAACCTAATCCACAATATTCATTACTAGAATTTTGTTAAATTTGTCAATAATAATATTATACAAACAAAGCCACTTGAAACATGATAAGAATAGCATCGTTATCATTTATATGATTAATTTACGTTCCTTCGTGTATTTACGTCAGTCAGAGGAGAAATATACGTTGGTACAAGTAGAAATTGGAAATTTGCACAGTAGCAGGAATACGAAATGTGCTTGTCACTTAAACACGTTGCATACCTTTCATAGAAATACGACAAAGAATATGCACAGTAAAGAACTTTCAACGAAATATTATTCCAAGGATTTATGCATATTTGCAATGTTCTTAAGGACTTTGGAATAATATTCCAAGTATTTAATATTATTATACCTAATGCAAACTCAAAATTCTACTGTGTTATTATTGTATAAAATAAACTAGCTCTTTATGTAAATAAAGGAACGAGCAAATGAATATTTAATATAAATATATAAATAAATAAATATCAATAAATGACCAAATGAGTATATAAATATAAATGAACAAATAAATACATAAATTGATAAATAAGGAAATAAATATATAAATACATAGATACGTAAATATGTGAGTGAATAAGTAACCAAATAGATCAATTGAATAAATATAAAAATAAATTGATAAATAAATACATAAGTACATTTGTAAATAAGTAATCAAATTGGTAAATACATAAATTAAAATAAATGTATACATAATTTAAAACAATACATCAAATTAAATAAATACATTAATGAATTGCTAAGTAAATGAACAAGAAAATAAATAAATAACGAAATAGATAAATTCTCAGTAAATAAATGAATAAATTGGCAAGTAAGTAATGTAAAGATGGCCTATACTTCACACAGAACTTCTACCCTTCATGTTCACTAAAAAGTCTTAACAAAATGCGTCGTTTCCATGCCTTCCCAAAGTTTTATGGGGAACGCATCCCCACTTTGCACTTACGGGAAAAAAACAAGCTTGTCGTTACTACGGGCCTGGAAAACATCAACCGAGTTTTCTTCAAACCTACTCCCGAAACACTCTGAAGGACTCTTTAATTTATGGCGACCCTAAACCAATTCCAAACATTGTCCGCTCGCTCTTACAGTAAATAAATACATAAACAAAAACATAAATAAGTAAAGGAATAAGTGAGCCAAGAAGATAAATAAATAAATAGCTCAGTAAATAATTTATTAAATAATTAAATAAGTAAAATAAACGTTTAACACGTAATACACGAATTCGACTTAAAATAATTTGATAACACACCGAATGTCCTCATCGATCCTAAAATCGATAAAAAATTAGAGTAGCTATTAATTCAATAAAATTCCATGAAAAATTGCATATGCGACTATCAAAGCTTTGAATAATTATTTTTCCGTAGTACCGAACGAAGGCTGCGCACGTTGGTTTATTAGATTGAAATTTATGATGGCTATCCGTTAGAGGAGGATCCTTCTCGTAAAATATTCAATGTTGTGAGATATTTCTCCCGCGTTGAAGATTACTCGTTTTTTGTTACAGAGAGTCTGTGCGGACGTCACGAGAAACGTTTATTGAATGAGCTGCTGTCGACGTATAACACCCTGGAGCGGCCTGTTGCCAACGAGAGCGAACCTCTCGAAGTGCGATTTGGCATCACGTTGCAACAAATCATAGATGTGGTAAGTTGTTTCCCTTTGATCTTGTACCGCTGCCAAATGGAACGTTTTTCCTTTCAACCCTTAACTCTTTCAACCTTCTTTTTCTAGTTACTTAACTGGGGGTTGTGAAAAGAATTTTGCTTGGGTATGCGTAAATTTGAGAATGTGACAGTGCAGAAGTTTGACTGCTTGAGAATGTGAGATTTTTAGGAATCAGGGAATGAAACTCAAGGATTTTGATTTAGGAGATTTTTGAACTTGGAAAGTTGAGAAGATGAGATATTAAAGATTTGAAAATTTTAAGTTGGAGGATTTTTGAACTGGAGAAATTGTCAAATTAAGGGAGTGGGATATTGAATTTTGATATAGGGAATTTTTGAATTTGGAGAGCTAAGAAGTTAAGATCTTACAGATTTAAAAATTTTGTTGTAAGAAATTTTTGAACTTGAGAAATTGACGAATTGAGAAAGTGGGATATCGAAGATTTGAGAATTTTGGTACAGGGAATTTTTGAATTTGGAGAGCTGAGAAATTAAGATCTTACAGATTCAAAAATTTTGTTGTAGGAAATTTTTTAACTTGTAAAATTGTCGAATTGAGAAAGTGGGATATCGAAGATTTGTGAATTGGGATGTGGGGGATTTCTGAACTTGAAAACTTAACAAAGTGAGACATTGCTTAAAAATCCGAATTAAGGGGATTTTTTTACTTGACAAATTGACATATTGGATATTTGAAAATGTAAATCCAGAAAATTGTTGAACCTCGAAGATTGATAAATTAGGGTTTTTTAGATTTGAGAACTTGGACCACCAGAATTGTTTAATTTCACAAAATGGTGAATTGAGAAATTGAGATTTTGGGGAGTTGGAAATGTGGACCTAGGAAATTTTTCAACTTGTGAATTTGACAAACTGAGTGTTTTGAGATTTCAGAATGTGGATTTAGGGAACTTTTGAACTTGGGATATTTAAAGATTTGAAAATTTTTGAATTTTGAGGATTTGATAATTTGATAATTTGATAATTTGACAATTTGACAATTTGACAATTTGACAATTTGACAATTTGACAATTTGACAATTTGACAATTTGACAATTTGACAATTTGACAATTTGACAATTTGACAATTTGACAATTTGACAATTTGACAACTCGACAATTTTACAATTTTACAATTTTACAATTTGACAATTTGACAATTTGACAACTTGACAATTTGACAACTTGATAATTTAATGATTTAACAATTTTCCATTTTGACAAATCTATAATTAAAAAATCTAAAGTTTTGAAAGTGTAAAGTATTACACTCATAAAACTCACGAAAATTGTATCACAGAATGTCACATTTAGTATAAATTATTTACCGATCATACTTTTGCATCATTTTCTTCCTATCTGAAGAGGATACACTAAAGATACTCTAAAGAAAATTTATGTTATAAGCATTTTCACTTGCACTGCTAGGAAACAGTATAAAACGAACTGTTCATGTCCATGTAAAGATATAGTTTCCATGGTTATAGAAATTCGATATGAAAGATTTCTATCATAACCTTATGCTTTCTTTCTCTATGCAGTTATCTGACTCGTATATGAATAGTGGCTGTTACTTTTCGATCGAATTTCTTTTCTCCTGCATTCGTTGCTCGTTTATTCCCGGTTTTCTACTCGTCTGCCATTGGCCCTGGGATCAAATCGCAATCGAATATCCTAGACGATGGATAGCATAATGGCCTGATCGAAATTTTCCTTCTGTGAATGAAAACTAAAATGAATTTACTGGTAACGACTGTTAGATGTTATACCTTCCTTAATTTATCGATCTGAATTTTATGAATAAAATATCAAAAATTTTACAAAGAGATTTTGTTGACTTAAAGAGAATTTGTTAACATAGAACACGGTTTTGGCTGACCATGTATTATTTGCTTCAGTGATGTGTTAGCCATTTTGTGCTACAAATATTGTCGAAGCATATATGAGTTTATGTTCTTCAAGCATTAAGCTTTAAATCAATGTACCATTAGTGTTATTTCGTATGATCAACAAGTTTTAACCATTTAATTATTTGTTAACCAACAATTTTGTTTGTTTTGTTTAATAACTCACCATTTTGCATTATTAACACGGTATTTGTACGATTATTTTTAGCACACCCCAAGCTTTGATTTAATACATCATTAATTGCTATTTCGTGATACTTTTATGTGTGAAATGGTCTAAATATTTTGACGTTCTGTTTGATTATTTGTTAAATAATTCTGTTGTTTATTTTATTAAATCACTTATCATTTTACATAATTAAAGCTGTATTTGCACGATTATTTTTATCACACCTCAAGCTTCAAATTAATACAAAATAATTGCTATTTTGAAATAGCAACTAAAAGTATTCTTAATGATTCTTATTCTTAATTAAATAATCTTAATGCTTTGTTCATCAACACTATTGTTTATTTTAACTAGTAACTAAACTAGTAAATAAACATTTTGTATTAACCCCTTGCACTATTTTGTCAAGTCTCGTGACGCACAAGTGCTTCATAAACAATTTTACACGAATAAATACGCTTCAATTTGAAGTTCAAGTCCAATTATAATTTGCATAATATCAAATTTAAAAATTGATGTCAGGATTTTAATTTTTGTTATAACATGCTCGTGTTTATGCGGTGGAATCGCGTTAATGAATGACAATTTGTTAAACAAAACTTACCGTTAACAACTCACGCAAGTGCTGATACGGCTCACTTAAACAAAAGCATTAACTCTTAACGCTCTAATTTTTAATTGTGAAAATCGAAAACTTATTCTCATCATTCCTTCCAAGTTTTTAAGTATCAGATTTTAAATGCTACAATGACATGTAAATAAAAATGTTAAAATCAAACAATCTTTATTCATCTCGAAAGTAATATAATTTTGATTACAATATTTATATTAATTATAATTAAGTAATATAACGCCGCACATCTGCGGTGCTTGAGAGGCACATTTGGTGCGTTGAAGGTTAATATCTAATCGATATGTAATCATATAGTGTCCAAAACCAAAATGTTTACAACATTATAGCTGTGATTAGTTAGTTCTGACTGATACACCTGACAAGCAAATAATAGAGACGGTATTTCTACAGTTTCATCAGACCAAATGAGTACAAAACAGCTATTCCAGCACACATCAAGAAATCGTATCTCCCCGCGATGTCAATACGGTGATTCATTAATCAGCAGGCTAATAAAAACACGTCACAAAGTATCATTTTTAGCAGGAAATGTTAATTACGGCAGGTAGTGTACAGAGTAAAAGGATATTTCTAAGGATGGCGACTCCCCAGTAAAAGGAAGGGCACATAAAGTAAATGGTCGAAGCAAGGGGTAGCCAAGATGGAGAACGTAATGCAATCTGCCTCGTTCACCGTCCTCCACCCTCTATTCATTCCACCCCTTAGCCGCGTCCCTTTAACCGTGCTGTCATTTAGATAAGACCGATATTTTCACGTGCAAAAACTCACGCAGCTAATCTTGGACCCCCTTATCTTAGTAGTTCACGCAAAGATTGCAAAAGTGTGCTCGCTTTTGTGAACTGCATTCAGCCGTTGAAATTGCGCCCCGCTACGATGGCGCTAGCAATTTTCCGTGAAAGTAATCTGTGGAAATATTACGTGACTAGTGACGGAGAATATTTAATCCTGTGTCCTCGTACAGCTCTTGTACCGAATAAAGCGGGAGCAATTTGGACGGTTTGTATGGTTAATGAAGAAAATGCTAAATTAGCTGCGCTGGAGATAGCACTTGATGGCGCGTCCGGCGACGCATTGTTAGGCTATTACGTATCTAATAGTCAAATAAGTTTAGCGTGAACTTGGGTTTGTATGCAGTGGTCGCGGGATAATTGCTGGATCATACGAAACATTTAAATACGAAAAATTTAAAAGATGAAAATGTTCTCTTATTCAAGTTTTAATTATATGTTCGTTATATACGAAAGTATCCTTCAAAATATCCTTTTGTACATTTTTCTCGTTTGGAATTTTTAGATTTTCAGTTTTGAATCCTGAGACTAGAATTAATTTAATTTAAACTTGAATTCAATATGTTTTTCATAAAACTTTGAAGCGGTGAAATGACCGATTTGGTAGTTTTAGCGTAGAATATTTTTATAGCGGTTCATTGATGTTCCTTTCGATTATGGTTGATTTGATTACGATTTTCTTAATGGATCTCCCGAAACTATTTTGGACTACAAGTTCGCACTTTGCGATCGAGTTGCTGGAGTAAGGAAGTGACTAAACGTTCTCGGAAGTTCGTTCATTTACTTTGGACACGATTTGCGAGTGAATCGTTTGGGAATTCATTGATGCCACAGTTAAATGTTCTGGAATGAGAAGTTTCATTTTCGGGGTTCAGGGAACTTGCAAAGTCCAGAATATATGATTATTAAAATCCGTATTACCTTCTACAAATGAATAAAATTGAAATCCTTCTGAAAGTTATAGAGTTGCTCTGATGCTTTCTATGGACCACCATTCTAAAAGTACTATTACGTTAATTGATATTATATCGACCGTACTGTTCAATAAATTTCTAGCACCCTTAAAGATGATTTATTTTGGAAGTAAAAATAGTGTGCTTAGTATAAGATGAGTATTACTGTATAATTTATAATACTGACACACTATAGATTCCTAAAGTTGCGAATGATTAGAAATATTGAATGAAAGCTTACAATTTTTATTTTCTATTATTAAAGTTGTTAAAACTAATTTCTGAGATATTTTTGTTCAATTTGCTGCAAATACTTCAATACACGAACTGAAGAATCGACAGTTTGTAATAAGAAAAGTTTGAAGCACAGAATTGTGAAATAAAGAAATGATATTTTATATAAAGGACATATGGTCGCCACAATTTCGCAATATTTCAAAACTAATGTGTTTTCAGATTTCGAGATAATATTTTGAATGTGTGCAAAATAATTAAAATAGAAAGTCGATGGCGTTATTGCGTTTGATA